ATGGCAACAGGTACTCGTGTATTGACCTCATTGTCAGTGTTAACAGGTACAATAGAATTTACAACCATTAACCCTGGTTGTCCTCCAATAAACCCTTTATCGTAGCTCTCTACAAGGAGCGTACCTGTCGTCTGGTCATCGCCTTTTAGTCTCGCCATACCTATATTGTAAGTTTGAGGCTTCACTATTAGTTCGGCCGATAACCTCAGCAGTGAACTAATATGAATATCCTCCTCGAGGGGAATATAGGTACCCTCATATCTTAAACTTTTTAAGTCAAAATACAGCCTTATTTTTTTTCTACAAGAAAATCTCTACCAAGAATTATATTCCTATTCATTGATGAAACTACATAAAATTTATGTGATACTTTTTTACCCCCCAATCTAAAATCAAAAATTGCGCTGCCTTCCATATCAATTTGTTTATTGTTGACTGAAAATAAAGTTATTTTCTCTTTCTTTAATTTAGGTTTAAATTTCAAATTTTTATACACTCTACTGTGCATTAATGAAACTTCCGCGCCTGTGTCAACCAAGGATCTAAAAGTTTGTTTTTCTAATTTGATGACACATGAGCTTGGATTGCCTGCCAAATTTATTTGAAAAGATTGATTATTTGATTCTGAATGATTTCCGTTTTTATTACTCTTCTTGTCGGCTGAATTACAAGAAGAGTTCCCTAGTTTCCCTGTCGATTGTTTGCATTATTGGGTTTTTTGCAATTTCGGCTTATATGGCCAAAAGCTCCGCAGTTCCAACATTTAACTTTTTGTTTATTATAATTATTATCAACTGCGTTTACTTGGCGTGCCCGACAATTTTTGCTTACGTGGCCTAATTTTTTACAATTATAACATTGTTTTTGTCGGAAGTGGTCGACTTCCATTGGTTCTGGGCAAGAAGACGATGAAGCATGCGTTGAGGCATTATTTCCTGTTCTAAGATGAAATCGTTTTCGCAAATTTTGTTCGGTCATGGCGGATGTAACCGCTTCTTGTAGGGTGGTCGGGTTTTCTCTCATGATTCTTAGTTTAAGGTAATTTTCCTTCAAACCGTCGACAAAGAACCTATCAATTGTCGTTCCACCTCGACCGTTGATGGTCCCGTATATGCCTCTGTGGCCAAAAGAAGCAATCGTTCGCCAAAGCATTGTACATTTTCATTCGAATTTTGTTTCACTTTTCGTAAAAGCGCCAAGGCATGTAGAGGGTCAATGACCTCGCTAAATCGAATTGATAACTCTTGTTTCAATTGGAGGTAATCCGAATCCAGATTTGATTCAATGTATCGCTGAATGAAGTTAGACACAATTCCTTTTGAAGTCTGAAATGCTATCAACTTCATTTGTGCTGTATCGATTTTGGCGAGAACGGCATATTTCTCAATAGACTTAACCCAATCTCGAAATTTGGTTGGCTCTCCGTCAAACGGAGTGATTATGTTGGTTACTCCCTGTGCCGAGATTGTTTCTGTCAATGTACTCAACTTGTTTGACAGAGTTTGAAAAAATTCTTCTCCCATTTTGACGGTAATAGAAATAAAGGTTACTTACAGTGGTGTGTCCTTTCTGTCGTTGTTTTCCCGTTCAGAATCCTGGTCTTAAGGCACCAATTCGGCAAGTGTTGGACTTCCTCACGTTGTGTCTTTGAAGGTAAATGAAGGTAAAGTACTTGCGATGTTTAAGCACTGTTTATTACAATTAGAAATATAGCGGTCAGCAATACCAGACAGACGACTGAGCAGCTCGGTATCCTCGAAACATACTAACTAAGATATTCTCGTCGCCGTCTGATATAGCCAAACCCATACAAAAAATACAATATAAAATAATAATAGCATAAAGAGAATAAAAGAATATGATAAGTTATATTGATCATGTTTGCTTTTCCCACAGACCCCTAAAACTATAGTTAAACATATTACCAAAAAGTATTATTATATCCATTAGGATTATCTTTTGTAGGTATTGTTAAAGCCATTAGGATTACCTCGGAAAGTATTGTTACGATACATGTTTTCAGGTGAGCTTCAGGTCAGCGGTCGTAGACCTGTCACCTGGACAAATAATGTTAATGGAAGGGTCTGTGAGGAACAATATGTGTGAACTTTGTTTTACACTATTAAACAAACAGTAAGAAAATTGGTATTTTCTTACAACATCGACTTTGGTACTTTGCAACGTTAACTTACATTTTGTTATAACGATATAGGTTATTTTATAGCTTACACACACTGAGTAATTTTAGCAACGTTATTCCTCCATAGTGGCAGAGAATTTAATTTAAAGTGTATGGAAAGTCAATTATGGGCCACTTGACACCTACCGTGAATGTTTCTATATATCCTATTGTATCCAATTCCAATCTTATAATCGATAATTAAGATACATGTATAAGTAAAACAAAGACGATTTGTGTTTAATTCCCGTTTGTTTACAAAGACAGTCCGCCATTACGTCGTATCAATCACATGACCACATGACGTCATTTTTGGAACCATCGTTAACCTCATAACCTTGATAGGCTACGTTAATGTTTACAATATTCACATCAAAATGCCGAAGCGCGGTGTCGCGCAATTTTGCAGCTATACCTGTAAAGAAAACAGTTAACACGGCTTTCCAAAAGACGCTGGTATGGGTCAAATTCGTACAATTGAAAAGGGCTGACTTCAAGGCGTCGACTGAAAACTTTCAGTCTGTTATTTATTTCACTTCAAAACTCTTTATTTTTATAGAAAATATTCTAAATTGGAAAGTTGACATAGCCAGAAAAGTGTTTTAAAATTCGATTCGCATATGAGACCCCATTAGAAATATATTATAGGTTCTTATTTTTAATCAATACTAAAAAAATCGGCATTTAAACTTAGCCAAAACGGTGAAATATCAATTTTCCAGCATAAAACGGTGGTAATGGCGGCCATTTTGGAACACCTTTGAAGCGTAACAAAAGCGAAAAATGAAGTTGATTTCATGAAATTTCAGTTTATCTCAAACACTAAACTCAAAAATGATTTAAAACTATCATTTCTTAATTTAAAGTATATTTTGAGCGGATAGTTTCATCTTATTTCAATTATTTGATCAGAAGGTCTACTTTCACTTTATCATTAATTGGTAGGCCTATCCGATGTGTGTGTTTTACCAATTCAGATTTGAGAATGTAAGAACTCGTGATGTTATGAAAATTACCTATTGTCTTTAAAATAAATTATAATTAAGTTACATGTATCATAAAATAGTTTTAATCTTATAATGACTTGTTCCGTATATCACTTATAAAATGAGTGTGAAGAAATCATACAAATAACGACCATATTTCTCCACTATTATCCCCATTCATCATGGAATATCTCAAAGACTAATCAAGATATTTTAATTCTGTAAAGGTTTTCATCGAGAGAAGATATGAATATTTTGAAGCGGGCGATTTTTAATACAAAATGTCATTATAAATTTATTTCCCAATCGATCTCCATTTTCATGAATTTCGGCAGTGTCATCGTCCTGGTTTGGCCTTTCACTGTCAGTCACCCCTTCCCGAGGACGCCTAACTGGCTCGAACTGGTAGCCCACCACACCCCCAAACATTTCGTATTCATCTTCTTCGTCTTCAGAATGAGATGAACAGTGAGTGCTTGACGAATCGTTTTCATTATAATACATGTCATAACGCCCGCCACATTGTTTATCTGTCAGTGTAGCGTTCCCAGAAACCACCGCGTCAAGTCCATAATTTACGTCACGCATACATTAGCGTACATTCGGATATTTCCGGAACGTGTTCGTGGTTTTCCGTACAAATCATCGATTTTCCATCAAAATATCACTTTTTCACCCTCACGAATTTTTTTTCCGCGAAAAGGATAGTGGCATTCAATTCAATCATTAATTATTTATCAAATACAAAAGTACACCATATTAAGACTTTCCATACTCTTTAATCAGCACATTAAGTAAGTCACATGAACATTCTAAAAATAATGGATTTTTATAAAAATTATATTTTACATCTACATTTAGAGTTCACATTAATTAAATTTATTTTCCTGTTTGAAATCTTTTTCTTTGAGGAATCGATTTTCCAAGAATAAAATTTCATTTCGACAATTTTTTACATTCGCATATTTTCCTTTCTCATATATTTTTGCAAAAATATCATTTTTTTGGAATTTTTGTTGGGAATTATAAGTCGACGAATGAACTGTCGTAAAGACCTTCATACCAATCGAACGCAACTCTCTTTCGAATGCATCGTTTTCTGCTTTCAATGCTGGGAATTGTAACATTTCAACAGCTGCTTTTGGAAGTAAAAATACGTTGGGTAACACATTTTGCTTTGGCATACTTGCTGTTTGTCCCTTACTGTTTCTAACTCTAACATATTTCCCGTCCTCACAAGTTTCACAAATTTCTAAGATATCTCCGACAGCTACATCAAAACCCTCTTCAATAAATGTGTCTGCACTGTCATAAACTTTTTTATTTTCTTGTCGTAGTTGATTAGCGAACATTATTTCACTGTTTACTCTTCTCTTTGCATTCACGTTCTCGGTTTTTCCAATTTCTTCATTTTCACCAGCATTAGAATTTTCCTACAATTATAGCATCTCTAAAAATAAAATAATATAACACTGCATGCTGTCAGAAGGTAAAAATATAGTTAAATCGCATTTATTTTCATGAAAATTGAGTGTCAGATGTAGTAAAATATGGTAATAAAAATAATAATGGAGTAAAAAGACTCAACGAGTAGGCCCTTCTTCCTACTTTTAGGCCGCTATAGTGTTTGTTGAAAAGATATCGAAAATAATCTATAGATTTTTGAAAATCAACATAAAATATACATAACACGTGCAATGCATCAATACATTCAACAATACATATATTATCAACTTTCCCCAATATTTTTGCAACATGCTCTGTCTACACTAAAACAACATTTAAACATTATTTTCTAAAGTTGCTGGAAACAAATGAGCGGGAAATGGACTATTATGGCTGGGCGAGTTAAAGTTGTGAGTGACCAACGTATATCTGATATAGGAAAAAGTAGAGTGCCACCAAACTCTCCATTGGACAGTGACAATCTTTCAATTGTAGTATTCGGATTAAATTATACTCAGGATGAAAGGCTAGAAGAGAAGATTTACAAAGTAATCAGAACTCTTGGTGACGAAACAGTTAATCAAGTTAAAGAAACCAATGTTAAACGTTTTAATTCAAGAACTGACAAACCAGGACTAATCAAAGTGAGTTTTGAAAATAATCAACAACGAAACATTGTGTTATCTAACAAACGTAAACTTATGAGAGGTGAGTTCAAGGATGTATTCATCTCAAGATCTAAGTCCTATGTTGAGAGATTAATGGAAATGAAGTCAAGAGCAGTAATTAAACAACTCAACAACTCAACACTTCGTGTCAACTCAAATGGCAAAATCTACAAGAAATTCGACAGGGCAGAAATCCGTTCAGGATTCATAGCTACATGGATTACATGTGTTAACCTTAAATTATGTTTGGTGTTAAATCAAAACTCCTGTCAACCGAATATGAAAATTTCATAGCTGATTATGACTTAGTGTGCCTAGTAGAAACCAAAGCAAGTATCTGGGATGAATTCTAAATCGAAGGTTTTACAATCAAAATGAACTCCAGAAAGGGAGCCAAAAAGAGTTCTGGGGGAGTAGCCATTTTAATAAAGGATCATCTTGCTGACGTTCTTAAGATATTTAAAGTTGATAATGATTTCTCTTTGAGGTTTTCATTCGATGAGAAAATGTTAGGGCATAATATTGTGTTTTGTGTAGCTTACATACCTCCGATCAACTCAGACTACAGTTCAATTGAAATGTTTGACATTATTGAGGATTCTTATCTGAAACTGTGCAGTGACAAATCTGAATTTTGTTTATTGGGTGATTTTAATGCCAGAACAAGTGAATATGATGACTTCTTATCGCCTGACGACTATAGAGAAGAAGTTGAAGACTTAGATTTCTACATCAAAAATAGGTTCGAGCAAAATACAGCAATTGCTTCATATGGAGGAACACTAGAACGCAGCAATAAGGATAAAGTTTTAAACAGATATGGTGAGAGACTTCTTGAAATGTGTATAAATCTTGGAATATATATACTGAATAGTAGATCAGAAACTGATAAGAACATTGGGGCTTTTACCTGTGCAGGTAGTTCAGCTGTGGATTATGCGATTTGTTCGCCAGGACTATTTCGATACACAAAGGAGTTTACTATATGTGAGTATAACCCCTTGTATTCAGATAAGCATTGTCCATTATCACTTATACTCTATCATCGTGAAATACTGATACCAGATAATAAAACGCACCAAACAGAAAAGTAGGCTACACCAAAATCAAGTGGGAGACTAAAAAAGAGACTGAATTTGTGGGCAGTATTGATAGTAATGCAGTGAACTCTCTTGTTATCGAGTTATCATCTATAAACGCCAGCTCTGTTAATCAATCCACGATTAATCAATTCTCAACTAAACTGTGTGAGATCTTTCACAAGAGTGCCACTGATGCCAAAATTAGTAGGAGTGTAGTTCAAAATAACAACTTAAAACGAAAAACTACTAACAAACCATGGTTTAACGAATGTTGTGAAATAAATAGTAAATTATTCTTTGTAGCAAAATATGCGTACAAACAAAACCCGACAACCGATAACAATACAAAGCTGGAGAACGCTTGTACGACATTTAAGAAACAACTAAAATTTGAATATGACAAATATCTTAAAGTTTTGAATCACGATTTGAAGAGGCTAAAGAGAACAAATACTAAAGAATATTGGAAACGGATTTCACAGGATAAAACTCATATAAAATATAATGTTGATCTTGATTCCTTTTATGAATCTTAACACCAGTAGCCCGATCCGAAAATGATGAAGAAGAGAAACAGCTTAAAATTGCTAACGATGATCCATGTGAAGTTCTATCTAGCGAAATAACTGAAAATGAAATTCTGAAGTGTATTGAAAACCTTAAGAACAATAAAGCTTACGGATCTGACCAAATATTGAATGAATATATTAAAACTACTAAATCAGTAATGTTACCTGTATATGTTTTACTTTTTAATCTTATTCTTGACTCTGGTATTGTACCAACCGAGTGGGTTAATGGCATGATCTGTCCAATTTACAAGAATAAAGGAAGTAAAGCAGATGCAGATAGCTATAGTGGCATTACTATTCTTAGTTGTTTATGCAAGTTATTTACCTCTGTCCTCAATGCAAGATTGAATAGTTTTGTAGAATCTGAATTGATCTTAGTTCCAGAACAAACTGGTTTTAGAAAAAACTCCTTGACATTGGATCACACCTTTACTTTGAAATGTCTGATAGATCTATTCTTAAAGAATACGAAACGCTTGTTTGCATGCTTTGTAGATTATAGACGAGCATTCGATAGTATTCCACGACTCAAACTATGGCAAAAAGGATTAGAAACTGGCATAAAAGGAAAACTCTTTAATGTGATATATAACATATATAAGCATGCCAAATCTAGTGTTCGTTTAGGAAATTGTGTATAAGATCACTTTGAATGTTCTATTGGCGTTCGACAAGGTGAAAACCTGTCTCCCCTGTTATGTCCTATTTATCTGAAAGATCTTTCTAATTTCTTAACAAATTACTACTCTGGATTAAATGTTTATGAATCAGACATTGAAAATGTTGGTTGTTATCTCAAATTATTTGTATTATTATACGCAGATGATACAATATTGTTAGCTGAATCCGAAACAGAACTGCAAAATGCTGTAAATGGGATGTCTTCATATTGTGCACTATGGGAACTCACCATAAACACATCGAAAACTAAAATTATTGTATTTTCTATAGAGGTAAGATTCGTAATAAGCCAGTTATTAAATATAACAGTGATATTATAGAAGTTGTAGATGACTACGTATATCTTGGAATCAAATTTAATTACAACGGCTCATTTACTAAAGCAAAATGTACACTTTATAATAAGGCATCCGCAGCCATGTTTTCGCTACTCCAAAAGAGCAGTAAGCTCCATCTTGATATTGAAACACAATTAAGTTTATTTAATAAGCTGGTGGTACCTATCAAATTGTATGGGTGTGAAATATGGGGTAGCAGTGACATTACTAACTTAGAACGCCTGCAGTTGAGATATTTTAAGATATTGTTAAACACTAAAATCTCCACGCATAGTACAATGATATACGGCGAGTTAGGATCATATCCGCTTTCTGTAACAATAAAAAGCAGAATGGTCAATTTTTGGTTACAGTTAATAAACTGCCCTGTTTATAAGCTATCGTCTTTTTTTTATAGTATATTGGTAGATCAGTCAAAATATAATAGTGACGCACAGTGGATCAATTGTGTTCAGAAAATTTTGTATGATGTAGGTTTAAATTATATATGGGACACACAAGCCGCTGGTATCAATAAGACCTGGTTAAAGGAAACTTTACTCTCTAGACTAAAGATCAGTATATACAAAGTTGGTTTATTCTATTAATAGTAGTAATAAATGTTTAAATTATCGTATATTTAAGTCTTCCTTTCAATTTGAAGAATATTTAATTTATTTGCCAGAAAACCTGAGGCGTAATTTTACTCGTATGCAGAAGATGCAGAAGCCATAAATTGCCAATTGAAAAAGGTGTTTTTCAAAATATACCCAGAGATCTAAGGTTGTGTCAGTTATGTCAGAAAGGGGAAGTGGGAGATAAGTTCCATTATGTTTTTAATTGCACATATTTTGATAGGTCTAGGACAAAATACCTTCACCCCCATTACAGCTGTCTACCGTCATATTTAAAAATGTTTAACTTGTTTAATAGTTAAGGAACTGAACTAGAAAATCTATGTTAATTTGTTAACGTCATTATAAATGAATTTAAGTAAATTGTAAAACTAGTTAACATTTAATTCAATTTTGTGTACGAACTGAAATTTATGTTATATTGTTGTGTATGAAATGAAATATATATTATATAGTTGTGAAATGAAATTAATATTACATGTACATTGTTGTGTATATAACTTTTGGTATTTATATTATACTATGTCTCATTATGAGATTTTGAATAAAGATTATTATGATTAGAGAAAAAGAGACGTGCTTAATGAGTTTCTGCAGGAATTTTTGCAATTGTTGCAGACAAAGAGAAAAAGACACTGGAAGGATCGAGTAAAGAGATTTTTGGTAAATCTGGCCATACCCATTCCTCGGACGTGATATACTGAGGGGATATCGGCTATTGACCATGCTATTGGTCTTGCTGTATTAAATTAATATATTTAGTGTTGTTAACAAAAAACGGAAAATGAGTTGGACTGAATAATTTTCTAATTTTAATCCTGTTGACCTTTCCTCATTCTAATTACAATTCTTGTTTTCTGATATGTGTTAATCTACAATGCAATCTAAAGAGTTTTCTACCAAAGGCACGTCCCATAGGTAGTATTTTCACTAACGAAAGTCTGTCATGTTAAATCCGTTTCGTAATAAAAATAGGAATTATAAAAAGCTTGTAGTGACATGGCAGATTTCGCTATCCCACTATTCTTTAATCCATCAAGAAACGGATTTAATTTGACAAGCTTTCATTGGTTAAAATTAAAACTATTAGAACGGGCCTTTGGTAGATGTAGACTAAATGTATCCTTTCGTGCATTTTTCCAATATTTACAAAAACACATTAACTCTGTCTTCACCTGCAAATATTTCACCATCATTGTATTGTATTATGTTTAATGTGTTTCTCCAGCATGAATGTTGACATATGAAGGTAATTGTTGCGTGGCGGTTTATTGTTCAAACGCAATTTTGAAATTTTCGTCTTTCTTGTAGTGATCTAAATGGTCATAAGTATCTCAGACACATCTCTGATAATCCAACTTGCCGATGCGGTCATCCTTTTGAAGATGCATTCCACTACCTCATACAGTGTCCCTTACATTTAGATGCACGAAATTGCTCAATCTCATTAATTCAACAAGATCTTATCACTATACATAACTTACTATATGTAACAGATTGCACCAATACTTCTCAAACTATATTTCAACATGTACATAATTTCACTAACGAACTGGTAACAAGAAAACTTTCATATTATAGACTTTTGGTTATTGTAGATTACTCGTGGTTGTCTTTTTTTTTTTTTTTTTTTAACTTAATACTAACTATGCTAACTTCACCTTATCTTGTATTGAACATTTATCTCTTTATTTGTGACCTTGGCCAGTGTTTTACATAGAAGTTTTTAGGAACTTCTTCACTCTTAACACTAACTCCAGTAAACGATTTTAATCGTCTTTTTGGATATCTCGTGTGTAGCTTTTGTTTTATTTTTTTATTTTTTTTTTATTTTTTTTTTTTTTTTACTCTTACTTTTATAATTATATTTACAACTTAATCAATATTTTGTATATCCATAAATTTATTATTTATTTTTACTTGTTTACTATATTGTATGTATTTTATGTATATATGTTTTGTTATTTTGTAAACTTTAAAATTCTTGTAAAATTGATTGTATTTATGGAGAAGGGTTATATAGGCGAATGCCTGTTCCCTAATCCCATTCATACTTTTTATGAATAAAATATTGTTTACAAAAAAAAAATTTTTAAATTTTGTTTTTGTTTCGGTTTAATTATGTAGAGATAATATGAAAAGATATGGTCTCCGAATATGGAAATATTACTTACATTTTGAAATTCTTGAGGAAGGCTGCCGAACTTTTTCTTCAGCCAAATCTGCAATTACAGAAATAAATTAAGTTAAACTGGCCGTGTCCAGTGGGTGATTTTGCTGGAACATTACAATAATGAAAGTGTCGATTACAATAACGAAATCGTCGAAATCTTCTGTAAAGTTCTAATAGAGGTGATTGAGTATTTTATTCTACATGGTAATTACAAATTTGATACTGCTACTTGACCATACTACCGCAATTGAAGTTCGTGCCTCGAATAATACAAAAGATCTCTTTAAAGGAATACTACCTTTAAGTGAACATAAATTTAAAAATTTTAAACTTAGCCAGTAAGAGCATTATATATAGTCATCAGTAGATATACCTGGTGTAATATAACATAACAGAATCCTTATATAATCCGATAAATCCAAAAAACTTAGTAATTATCCATAAAAAATGAAATTAACTATTGAAAAACGCTAAATATTGATTAAGCGTTTTTCAATAATTACTTAGTTTTATGAATTTTCCAGATTTTACAGGGATTCTGGTGTAACTTTATGACGCCAGGTAAGTAATATATTATATAACTTACCTGGCGTCATAAAGTTACACCAGAATTTAAGTCAATATTATACTGATATTGACCGTTCTTGAGAACTTAAATTTTATGTTCATTCTAAGACGTAGTATTCCTTTTAAAAAATACAAGGTTAACTTTACATCTGTAGAACGAACATCTATACTGAACGTCTTGATTAGAACGTGTGTAAAGTGAGGAATCGGATGATCCTCAGACCTAACGCATATTTAAGCAAATGTAACTGTGCATATCCGGGTATTATTCAAACCATGATCATGAGTAGTCCACATATATTTAAAACTATTTTAAGTTCAAATATACATTGTATAGTTATGAATACCATACATTTGGTTTCTTTAGTCTCGATCACAATTTATACTGCTTGTGTTTAGTTTTGTCCCCAATCGTGTACACGTATTGAGAGATTATCATGCGTCATAAAGCGTATCTCACACCTATATTGTATTATTTACGTTGTTTATTTCGTGAGCACGTAAATATATTGTTAACAATATGGGTTTAATACAAGATTATTTCACTCTTGAACGCTTGCCAATTGAACACAATACAGTGTTAAATGCAAATTGAATAAATAATATTTACCTTCATGTTTTCTTGCGTTCTTTTGGAAAGTTTAATTGTCATATTAGGTGGTTCTGATTTAGTAGAGCTTATTGTATTAAAATGTTCATTCCAAAGATGTTCACCTAGAAATAAAATGAAAACCAATTTACGGAGAAGTCCTTTACAGGAATTTATTTTCAATTTAACAATAGATAACTAATAATTTTATGGGAATATTGTGGGGATTTAAACTACCAATCGCTATTATGTATCCCAAATAGGATACAATTTGAATGTTTGTACAAGTAATCTTAGATAGCCGATACTTCAAAATTTCAAGCAATATGAATGCCAGGAATAGACATTGACAATCGTCCAGATAACATAACCGATACTGTTATTGTGCCATAGTTAAAGCCTTAGTAAAACGACCCCATTAAAGTAAAGGTTCGATAAACTCACTTGACTCAACTCAAATAAAATTGGACCACTTATAATATAGAAATATTAAAACAGAACCTGATACATGTTGTTACTCAAAGTTATAATTTATTCGTGTATATACCATCATAATGTATTAAGTAATACTACACCTACACTACCATGTTTAACATACCTTTACATTTGAGTGGTTGAACTGAAAAGAGACAAATAATAACTGGGAACATTTAAAACTATATTCAACATTTTATATTGTCTCGTTTTCATAAATTTTGTCACTGTTG